TTTTTCTAGATCAGGCCTTTTCTGAAGATAAAGTTGAAAGGCTGAATCGATATCCTCCTGAAAATAGGTAAAAAGAAATTTATATAAGGTGAGATCAATATTTTAAAACCAGTTTTGGAAGCTTGTGTTGGGATTTTAAACAAACTATTACAGATGACCTTGTTTTTTTTTTTTTTATGGTGTTTTCCTTTTTGGTGAGTAGCAGAAAACGATTTTTTGGTGAATCTAATACAGAATGAATATGTTAGAAGCATTCTGATAGTAATAACCAGATGGAAAGAAATACTGTGATCATCCACTTTAAATGTAATGAGAAGATGACGTGTGCTTCAACAAAATAATAAAAAAAACAAGTAAATTGCTCTTGAATGAACCTAAAATTATTGATAACTGGGCTTTTCTGGGATTTTCCCAACACTTTTCAAGCTGTGCACAAACATAAATACTTTGTTTTTTTTGGTAAAGAAACAGATCATGTGTGGAACTGCACAAAAGCTAAAGCTTTTTCTTCCTCCCTCCAAAAAAAAAAAAAAAAAAAAAAAAAAAAAATTGATGAGTTTGCTTAACTTGTTTTAATTCTGCCAAGAATCTTAGCATAATCACAAAACTTCTCAAAACAATAGCATTTTTGATAGGATAGTATTTTACACAAGTAATTTGTTTTTTTTTTGAAAGTAGATGAAAAAATATTTAGAAAGTACTTTCACACACTTAATACTCTCTAGTTGATTATGTGATGGGTGTTAGCCCTGCATTGAAATACAGTAAACCCAATTGCAGGCTCATTCAGGTGCTCAGACCATAAGCAGGTGAAATTTATATACCTATTTGAGTGCATCTGGCCTTAAAAGTTAACACTAGTGAGAAATGCAAATAATATTGATAGTACATTAATTTGTTCTTCTTTTTTTTATGTGTCATGTCCTTCAGTATGTAGGCAATCATGATCCTCCACTCCCTCCTGTTCCTTGTAGCTCTTAATAAGTTTTTTGTTATTTCTCCCAAACCCTGTTCCACCATCCATTCGCTCAAACCTACCAGGTATGTTACACATTGTTTTCCTCTATCTGCCCTGTGAGTATCAGATTTCCCAAGCTCTCCTTCCTCATTATGTGCTCCAGAAATTTCATCTGCTTCTTCCTGATGTTAAGTATAAGTTTGCATTTTCTCCAAAACCTTGTTGTTGCTCACGTTTGGTCCATGGTATCCTCAACAAATTTCTGTAGAACCACATTTTCAAGAAAAAAATTTCTGATTTTATCAGTTTTTCTAGGAATATTTTAAGGGATGGTTTATGCGGATAGGAGGGGGAAGATGGTTAACTCTAGACATGAACAGGTTAAGATTGTGGTGATCGGGGAAACATCTTCTTGGGAGTCTGTTTCACACAGCTGTGGTTCACGAGAAGATGCTGTTAGAGTGAAACGTCTCACCGATGGACGTCGGAAGGAACGTCTCGGAGGTTTGCATTGTTGTAAGTGTCATGGTGGGTCCTAGCCGTGAATGTTAAACCTGTCGTAACCGAGGAATGTAGTCCGTCCAATCACTCTCCATGGAAGTAGCAATAATGTAGTGAGAGTTATTTTCTACCCTCCAACATCTAACTCACAGATAGATGTTCGAGGGTGGAAAATAATTCTACTCCAACAAGGATTCGGAGACGCTTTTGAACGCTATCAAGACTGGAATGGGAGGGCAGGGCAGCTTCCGCCGCCCAAATATGACAACATTACTCCATTTTCGGCCTGATCTGGCTTTTTTTCCCCAGTATCTCCCAATCCCGTTCTGTAAACTATTTACTCAAACTCGTTTTTTAAATTATATTTCTTGCCTTTCAATATGCTCTTTTAAATTTTAAACATTAAAAAGCCCATTTTCCTTTTTGTGCCCTAGAAAGGACAGGAATCTGTGACAAAATAAAATAATGTTTTACCTTGAAAAAACGTCCATCAGAAGATGATACATGGAGCTTTAAAAAATATAACGTCGTTTTGTTATTTATATATTTATATAAAGGGTGTATGTCTATATTATTACGGAGAAAGGGACAAAGTCGAGAAAATAAGTATTCAAATCCTCAAAACACTGTTTTTTTTTTACATTATTTACTTTTTTTAATCGGTATGATCCCATGCAAAACCCAAGTGTTTACAGGGTGTGGAAGTATTAGGAACAGAAACATTAATAATGAGCTGGAAGGGAAAAGATCAAACAGGAGGATATTAGATAGCGAGTCGGAAGTGAGTTCCACAAGCAATTTTTGCAAAAAAAGAATTTGTTATTCATAGAACTTACGACCACATCTAGCCAGGCCAACTTTAAAACGATGAGATCTCGACGCCTGTCTAGTACTGTGCTTAAATTCAAAATGTTTAGATACCATAGCGATGAATTCATCCCAAAAAATTACCATGAAAATATTCATTGAAAAGACAGACAGAGGCTACCTTACGGCTGAATAATGTTTGATGAAGCCGAGACACCACCTTAAAGGACCAATCAAATGAAGATTCTTCTACTGAATTTATCCAAACAGCTAAAGGTCATTTGAAGCAGGGGCGCCAGACCATATGTGTTAGAAATATTCTCAGCATTAACGAACAGTAGACTTACAGATGTACTTCAAAATTTCAACACATCTAGTTTTAATTTTTACAACAGAAGGCAGTAGCTTTTTGTCGCGTGTACCGAATACTTACTTCTCGCTCACAGTATCTAAATCGATAACTACATCTGTTTTACATACACATATAAACTGTTTCGTATAAACGCACACTCATGGATATATGTGTATAATTTCGATACGTTCATAAGAAATTAAATATATATTGTTCATTTTATTTCTTTTTTGGACATTGTCGTCAGAAAATCTATCGTTTTTATAAACTTTTGAACTTTAGCTAATTCTGTTTATGTTGTATTTGATATATCGTGAAGGAAAAAAAAATCAGTAAATTGCTTCTTTTCGATTGTTTATTTAAAGTCACGATAGGACCTGAACTATAAGTTTTATCACGCAAACAACAGAAGTGAACAAATACACAATTTATCAGTATCTAAACTCTTTCCTAAGATATAATAAAGAAAGAATAATTTCCATCTTTTTCATGCCGATGGAATTAGTTAATTCATTTTTTACTTATTTTTATTGTTAACTCTACCAACATCTCTGTAGAATATTAGGTCATAACTTTGATGTTATTTCTTTGGATTGACTGATTCGTTTTTTACGGCTTATCAACACTTTTCAGGTTGTATAAAGCCGGAAAATATTTGTTTAATTTGTAAGAATTTATTTTTTTGCAGATAATAATGATTTAGTGATACACATCTTGCTAATTAATCCATAGCTAGGGAAAATAGGCACATTTATATCTAATCAGAATTTGAAAAACAAACAAGAAATTATTATGTGGATATAAAATGGGAGATCAATTCTATATTATAATCAATCTATAAGCAGATCTCTCATTTTGTGGCCACAGTCGTTTCTAAACATTTACAGCCTGTTTGAAGTTATTATGAAAATCAAATAAACCTCAATAACTCAAAAACTTCTGAATCAATATTTGTCAAATTTAAACTCAGTCATTTCCACAATTAGTAAAATATTTAACTAAATTTTCTGCCATTTTTTAATGGATAGTTTGGGGGATATTTGGAACTTATGAAAAGTAACTGACTGAAGTTATTATGCAGGTTAAACTAATATTAGCTTAAGACATCTGAAATCTAATAAAAAACTAATTTTTCTTTTTGTCCATAATATATGTTGAAACATGGGTGAAGAATAGGGTCTAACAACTGCTAAAAAACAGAAAATAAAGTTTTTGAGTGAAAGAATGTCCACATTGGAGATATCAAAGGAGCTTTGTAGAGATCATCGAATGATAAAGAAGGCAACTGAAAATATGAGTAAGTTGATAACTCCAAGGAAAAGTCTTTAAGAACTTGCTTCCTTGAGATGAATATAATCTAATGCCACTTATAGCGAAAAAACACTTTTGACCAGCAACCAGATCTTTGAAAAGGTTAGAATTGAAGGAGTCAACAAGGAAAAAAGATATAGAATACTTTGTGAATTAGGATTTGTAAAAAAAAAAAAAAAAAATCTCCGTGGCAAACTACTTTCACTAAAGCAAATTATTTTAAAGCTTCAAAATTGGGTCAAGAAATACATGAAAACTTTTCTACAGTAATGGATGACTCTCGAGTGACATTTGATAGATCTGATGGATGAGCCAAAGGATAGATTTTATCTAATTCAGACGTGCCTGTGGCTAAAAGAAGGCAACAAGGAGGCGGTAGTGTTATCATATAAGCTGGAATTATCGATCAAACAATTATTGGACCAGTCAAAATCGATGAAGGAGTTAAACTGAACACCGTTAACTATTGCGATTATATGAACAAAACGTGATTTGTATGGTAAAGTCCAAGTCTCGCAGTTTCACGTCGATTCTCTTTCTCACGTATCTAAGCTTAACCGTAAAATGTGATTTTTTGGTTTTGCCTAATAACTTCAGACGGAATATGTTTTTAGAATATATCAAATAACTTTACTAAAACATATTGATACTACCTCAAATTTTAACCGTGACATGTAAATTGATTGTTTAAAATTTGATGAATAATTCAAATTTTGTTTGAAAAAAAATTAAGTTTATATAATCTCAGACAAAGTGTATATTTCAGAGAATATAAATAAATATAAAAGACATGTCTGTGTTGCTTATTCAGTATTTTATTTATTAATTTTCTACGGTTTATCAACCCTTTGCAGTTTATTTAAAGCTAGAAAATATTTTTAGATTCTAAGAATATATTTTTTGGAGATAATAATGATTTAGTGATACAAGTCTGACTAATTAACCCATAGCTGGGGGGGAGAAGAAGTGAATTCATACATTTCCCAATGGTATTTACGCGTAATATAACAAACCCAACGGGAATTGAAACTCGCCTCTCAAATTATTCATTACACGTTGCGCACGTCCAAGCTTACAGCACCTGGTATTCCCAATCGGTCACCCATCTAGGTACTGACCATGCCCAACGTTGCTTAACTTCGATGATCGTACGGGAATCGGCGTTTCAACGTTATACGACAGTAAGCCGTATTACTGTTCTATGTTCCATACAAAGTTTTTTTTTACAGGTTAAATTTGCTAACGTTAGACCCAACCGATTTTATATTTAGAGGTGTCCTTCTTCTAGACTGGTTACCAATCAAGTCTACAGGGTCTAATCTGCGCTGCTATAAGCCCGTAGTTGGAGAGAAGTAAAAGATGGATTCATGCCTTTCTCGGAGTATTTGCGCGAAAGTGAATGCTACTGTTCCGCGTTGAATCTGAACAAGTTACTTGAATTTCACTTTTCGCGCCGATAACCGCTATTCTACCTAGACATTCCACTTTTATTAATGAAGTATTTTTTTTTGTTCAAGTTGCATGATGAAAATACGGTTGTAACGATTAACCGGCTGTGAATCGTTAATTTTGATTAATCGGTCATAGTCTATGTTTATTTTTCCGATTATTAGATTTTTTTTTTCTTTTACTAATCAGTCATATTTGTTTAGTATATTTCAGAAATTTCATCCCAGTCCTAAGAATCATCATTTATCATTCATCATTTATCTCATAGACAGAATGAATTTTAAAATAACATTCTGGTAGTTTTCATTATTTAGTTTGGTTACTGTTAATTAAATTAACGATTATCGGCCGATTTTCCAAACTTCTGAGAGTGTCCGAAATTTGATTTACCAGAATTCGATTATCTGGACATGAAGTGGAGAGAAAAATTAAATCATCCGAACATGTTTTAATTATCAGAACTGAAGTTATTCTAATCTTTCTTCTCAAACAAGCGTTTTCAATTTTTTTTTAAAATCATTTAACCCCGAGAAAGATGATTAAAAGGCAAGAGGTTACTGGGTGCGAAAGAAAATGAGAAAACCTTAATGAGGAGAAAACTGGCAAAATCATACTCATCACTTGATAAGTAGTGAGTTCGATCCTCAATGGGTGCTGCACACTTTCGGCCTTGTGCCACATCTAAGTTACGGTTAGTAAATCATTTATTGGCACTTCAACGAGGTTTAATGGATAACAAGCTAGTCTCGATAGATCAGTTACGACAGAATAGTGAGTTCGATCTTTACTGTGTGTCCCATACTTTCGGCCTTGTGACACATAAGCTACGGTTAGAAAATCATTTATGGGCACTTCGACGTGGTTTAATGCTTAGCAAGCTTGTCTCGCTAGATCAGTTACGACTGAATAGTAACTTCGATCCTCACTGGGCGCCCCCATAGATACGGCCTTGGGCCACATCTAAACTACGCTTAGAAAGTCTTAATTAATACACAAGACTTGATAAAAACGCTGACAAAACTAGTTCAATTAATTCTCTTTAATGTCTTCCTTGTTTTCATCCAAAGAATATGCATTTAAATATTCAAACCAATATCAGGCCAGTAGATTATGACTTACAGAACTCTCAGATGCTTCAATAGGAACTAGCGGAAAATGTTGAAGAGGATAATAATATTGCCCATGTCAAAGTTTAACAACCACAATGCCCAACTTCAAACATCGAAGTAATGATTATGTTTGACAAAACTTTATGTTGCTTGGGCTTTCTGGCTGAAACTACTCAAGTAGTTTAATCTAGTTTTGGGAGTTAGCGATAGAGACACACGAGGCCAGACGGAAAAAATACAAAAACTAACGATTTTTTTTTATAAAAAATATGTTGGACAAAATTTTGAACAAGCTAAATCAGTAACATCAGCAAAATTAATGCAGTAACATAGACAAAAAATATAGAAAGCTGATTTTTTCCAGGGATGCTACCTCTATGGCCAATCGATTCAAAATCCATAGAGCTCCCAAAGATCCCTAGTAAGCTAAATATTCGTGAGCCTAAAATCTAAGATGGCCGTCTCTGCCGAGGTGACACGTATAACTTAATCATTCAGCTCACAAACCTGTGTAATACCTCTTTTCCAACTAATTTGATGATGAGTAATACAATCATTACCTTATTTTTAAGATATAAGGACAACCTAACCTAAAATAGATTACTAACATAAATAGTATAGAGAATACACCATTTTACTACAGGTAGAATGAATATCTTAAGACAATCTATGATGTGGTATCTAATGAATCTATACAAACAAGGTGCAGCATCTGCTATACTGTGATCTTGTTTAATTTGATTTTTATGAGTGATGCTGAAGTTGTGCAATCTTAAACTCTGTTCATGTGTTCTGTTATTCCAAATTATTCAACTTCATTCTCGTCAACGAGGGAAGCATTCGTATCCAGACCTTCCCGGTTCTACTGGATAGAGATAGTTCCTCTTGTAGATCCTCGACTATCTGGGACACCTAGGTAGTCCCACGCTCTGTAAGCAGACTCTCAGGTGAGGATGACTGATTCAAAAGCATCTCATGAACCATTCTGGCTTCATCAAAGTTTATGCCAGATA